ATCACTGGAGCATCACCGAACTCGCGTACGCTTCCCTCCTTTTTGTAGTTACTTGCTTTAGTGCGGTTTCAATTTGAAGAGAAACTTCATTTGCAACATTTTTCCTCCAAGGATGTTAACACGTTGATTGTAAATAATAGAATTCAGCCTTTTTTCCCGCTTTGATCCATATTGATCAGATTTTAGACTTCAAGTTCCATTATTTAGAATATTTCCCTTTTAAGAGATATATAACTTTCCTAAACGGGGAAAGCAGCTTAAATATGGAGTTTTGATTTGAAGCTTAAAATATAACCAACTTAGGAAGCGGGGAAAAAAAGACTGAATTTCATTTACACTACTCTCTGAATTTTATTCCTGACTCTCCACCAGAGAACAATGTTGGACTTTAAAAGCGCATAAATTAATTGTGAATTCTGGTAGACAAAAATTTTAGATTTTTATATAATCCGGAACAAAATATAAAAATCTGAAGTTCGAAGACCTGCAGGTTGCGGACGGAGGGTGAAAACTAATGGAGGTTTAATTGCTTTTCAAATTGCGTAAAATTATATTATTTAATTCTTTAATTATGTATATATGACGTATGCATATGCGATTCTCCGCTCAGCTCTCCATGACCGGTTAACTATATTACGCCGGGTTCTACTTCGCGTGTGATGATCGGATACGAAATTTATCGAGACGGTTCTCGGCTAGACGTGCTTCCCGAGAACTTGGATAACTTAATAAGTGCGTCTTAAGCATTGATGAATCTCGATTAGAGAAAAATATACGATCAGATAGCAAAGTTAACGACGCATAAATATCATAACCATCAGATGAACGAACTGATAGACGATACAGACGTTGCGAGTGAATTAATTTACAACACGAATATGTGACTGGCAGGTATTATTATTACGAAGAAATATCGATAACGTATAATTCCATTATATGTAAATATCGTGAAGAAGGCGAGCGGTAATTCCAATTACTTTTTGAAAGATAATTCTTTTTAGCCTGCAATTCTAACTTATTTCTTTATCTAAAAATAAAAAATAATTATACAAAATGTATTTCTTGCGATCGAGATCTCTGTTATTTGAAAAAAAAAATTGCTACTAATTGGAAAACTTCGTGAGAAACATCTCAGACAGATAAAATTTGAGAATATTCTAAAAATATCACAAGATATACTCAGGATGTTTCTATTTCCACTAATTTCTTCCTTGACAGCAAATCAAAATATCCTCAAAGTGCTGGGATCTTCCTCGTCAAAAGTCTAAGATATTCTATGCCTATCCGCCGATGAGTTACTCCGAACAGAAGTCACTTCGTCGTGTCGAGAACGAGCATTAAGGAGCTGCTTTAGAGCAGATGAATGAAAAAATCAGCGAGGTGCGGCCTCGCCGCGAAATAATAACTTAACGTGTGCAGCGGCCGACGACGCTTCTATCGACGACGACGGTCGCTTTCCTTCCCGGCGGAAAATCGCGACGGACGAAGCGCGAGAACGCGAAAAATGCGCGTCCGCTTCTTTTCGGTCACGCTCGATATCGTAGCTATATACTCCCGTCGTTGAAAGAGCGGAGCAAACCGCGTTCGTGGAATTTGGAGAAATCTGGACGGAGAGAAAATGAAAAAATTGCAGAGCAAAGTAGAAAACTAGAGGGAACGGAAGTAAGAGACCGGGAGCCTCGCTCGCGATTACCTTGAGTGATATCTCGAGCTCTTCCTCTCTCATTCTGACCGTAAAAGGTGATTAACATAATATTCCAGTGCACGGTGAATCCATCCTTCCATCGATCGAGCGTAGATCGCTGTTGGCATGCGAAAATTTTAGCGTTTATTCGAAAGCACCGTGGATATCAAGAGGAGAAAAAGAGAGGGATCCTTCTCTCTCTCTCTCTCTCTCTCTCTCTCTTTCTCTTGTTCACCTCCTCTCTCTTCTCGGTATTGCCGAGTCGATGACTTTGCGCCTCGACCGAGTCATTATTCAGAGCTCCGACACACACGGCGTCGCGCCGCGTTTCTTCACGTCGCCCGAGATATATCACTTTCTCGTAGGAAAAGTCTCGCCCGCGAAACGGAACGGAACTCGCGCTCGCGAAAGAGAGAAAAGCGCAGTCCTGCCGCGCGCCACAACAAGAGTGGTACGATACGGAACGGAACGGAACGGAGAGGAGCACGCATGCACGCACGCATGCACGCACGCACGCAGGCATGCACGCACGCACGCACGAATGCGCGCCGCTGACCACCACTGGCCGACTGAAGAGAACACCTGTATGGCCAGGAGACACCTGTCGCTGACGCGCGCTCGCGGATCTGGCAGGATCTGGTGATTTTATATACGTCTAGGGAGACGCCGTATAAGACACTAGCGCGATTATATTCGCGTTCAACTCGCAACTCTCCTCATGCTATCGTGTACATTGTATCTATAATTAAATATACATTGAGAAAAAGAACTGTTCTTTTGACTGAATTTAATTTAGTTCATCTTTATTTCTTTTAATTATGAAGAATTATTAAAAAAAGATTTACTAATTTAAATATGCAATATGGTATTATATCGAGAAATTGTTTATTTGACCAAATTAATTTAGTTCGCGTTTATTTTTTTCTCCGGATATTGCATATTCAAATTAATAAACTTTTTTTATAATTTGAATATTTTATAATTAAAAGTTAAGAGTAACTTTTGATAATATATTATGGGAATGCTCTCCTTTTTATATATAGAATAATTTTTGATAAAGGTTTTTCAATAATCTCGTTTTCATAAACAAAACTGTTGCGTTTATTTTATCAATTATCTCTTACATATCTAAAGTATTTTTATTTTCACTCGCCACAAATTCCTATGATATAATTATTCGATAGAGAAATCGTTTTCCTTTCTAATTACAGAAAAAGAATTTGTCAGAATAGAAATCAACAGGAGTTCCAGTAAACTTTCATCCGTTTTGTGCTTGCAATCGTTGCATTACATTTCATTATTGTTATATATAATTGATAGTATCCTTATCTTATTTTTTACAAGTGCAATGTCATAACTTAAAATCTTCAATAAATTTCTCATGCATACGATTCAATTAATTTAAAATATAAAATAAATTTTAAAATATATAAAATATTCGCTTTAACGTTTTCTCTTATAAATAACATTTTCTCTCTTTTACTAAATTATAATTTCTCAGAGAAATGTAAGATAAAGCTTAATTGAAAGAAATAGTAATTCTTATTTAGGAAGTTGGTCGTGTATCGTAAATCTAAGCCATCTAAGGGATAACGGTATTACAAAGATTTATCGTGCAGATTTACAAAGATTTATCAGACGATGATACCATCTGTAAGCACGCATTTCTTTGAAATTTGCGATTAATTTGGTACTATTAACACAGCTCTGATTTCAGAACAGAAGATGGATGCTACAGTTGATGTGTACGCTTTCATATACATGTCTATACATGTATCGCGTACGTATTTCAAGATGTTTTGTATGATTTACATCAAATCCCTAGGGCTTATTTTCTGACGAAATTAGAGTCGATCTTTCCACAAAAGTCTTTCGATTAAAATATCAAAATTATCTCGAGTCCTTGTATCATTAAAACATTTATTGTAAAAAGACTGCACAAATTATTTGTAAGATGTAACTTCCAATAATAATATTTCGAGCATGATAAAATCAACTCTAAATCCATAGAAAAATCAATAGACAAAAGGAATGGCGATGATTTTGGCACATTCCGTACATATATATATATATATGTTAAATGGATCAAAATATTGCTAAAATATCTATATAATTTTACATCATTTACCGTTATGGAGTCATACATTTATAAAGTATATCTAATATATTATCGACTTATTTCATTTTTACGCGTAATAATTATTCTCAAATTTGAGTTATTCACAAACGTAAAAAATCGCGATAAATGAGTATAATAAAACATTAGATACGGTATATATAAAAATATATAAAAATGATGAATTTGATAATATAAACATGTCCGAATGATGATTAACGAAGATGATGTTATTTGTGATGTACATTCTCTTCTCATAGTACTTAAAGATACAATGATAAACTGATGTTTCGCGCCTTCATAGCAAATATCGTACATCGTTTCTCATGCAAAGATAATTCGATAGATGCATACTCTCACGCGTATATTTCCAAAATGTGTGATCTTACGCGTTATAAGTAACAAGTATATCTTAGAAAACGTTAGCTGGCAGTTTGTGTCAGTATTTGTCGCGTTTTGTGACAAACAGACGAGAGATAGACGAAAGAATATAACATCGTACGACACAATCACCACAGGACAGTCTTCCGCATTATCTAGGACGGACCGGATTACAGCTCCCCCGATCTTCGCACATGCACGCACACGGCCTGCGAAATCACTTGGACGATTTCTGTATATCGCCTCGTACGTCATAATTAATTCGTGTTACGCTCGAGCGAGAAGAAAGAAGGAAAAATTATGTATTTGTGGTCCGTCGTTCCGTCTCTCACGTTGTCGGTTCAATTTTATCAATAGATCGACTCTTTATCGTGTCATTGAATTGTAATACACAGGAAGTACAACTTATATATTGTACATAAATATATTACATCGTTACTACTACCATCATCACTCGGAATTATCACCCTGATAATCGAGGTCTACCTCACATTAACTGACACTTATAAACGATTTTACAAAGGCCATTTAACGTCTACGTGTACAACATCCTTACTGCGGTCTAAAACGATATCTAAAACCTCGTCAACGCTCCTGGTAAAGCTATCAAAATGCCAATGTACGTTTGTCAAGTCATACAGGTAAAAATGTACAAATATTCTTTGAGATTTATGGCAGACAGAATGTGCGAAGACGAGAACGTAAAAAGGAAGAAGAAAAGAAACGAAATACAGAGAAAGAGACAGAAGAAAAGAAAATTTTACCGTTAAATAAAACTATACTATTGATCGTTCGCAAAAAAAGATCATAGTCGTTCGAGTATAAAAGCTGCGGTACACACCTTCAGAAATACCGCGAAAACTAGTGTCACAAATAAATCAATGAAGAAGATCGTAACGATCGCCGTCGACGAAACGACGACGGTACAATTATCGGATCTCTTAATGGAGCAATATGGAAGAATTCGAAATCCTCTTTTCAATACGCAGACGCTTCCTTGTACTCGGAACCTTCCATAGTGAAGAAATCCTCAAGTTTCCACTGAAGCGTCTCGAAAGTAGGTCTTTTCATAGGATCCTTGTTCCAACATTCCAGCATGATATTATAAAGTGTGTCAGGACAGCCGGGTGGACTTGGCATTCTATAGCCATGCTCCACCTGATGAAGAACCTCAGCGTTTGTCATACCTGAAGAATAAAATACATTTTTATTTATTAGTTTAATCGTACGTGAAAAATGATTAAAAAATGACTTTACGTAATTTTAATTAAAAATTTAAAAATCAAATATAACGATATATAAGATTATTTTTATTTTCAAAATCTCACCTGGATAGGGTATTCTACCATATGTGACCAATTCGGTAAGGAGAATTCCGAACGACCATACGTCGGATTTAATACTGAATTTGCTGTAGTTGGCAGCTTCAGGAGCGGTCCACTTAATAGGGAAGCGCGCCCCTATTCTAGCCTCGTACTCATCTTCTTTGATAAGCCTAGCCAAACCAAAGTCCGCGATCTTAACGACATTTCCGTCTGCTACGAGAACGTTACGGGCGGCCAAGTCTCGATGAATATAATTCTGCGACTCTAAATACGCCATACCGGCAGCTATTTGCGCGGCCATGTCGATTAGTTGCTGCAGTTTTAGGCCTCTACCTTTTCCTAAAAAGATCATACATTATTGCTACAACGATGTAACGAAAAGACACGATTGCAGAAATAAGCTTTATCGATTTTGTAGTCGTATTTTCAGATGGCACCGTGAAGAATTAATGAGCAAATAGAATATGCAACTAGATTGGAAAATATATCTGTTCTTTTATTTAAACAGCAGAAAACTGGTAACATTTTAGAGCTTCTGAATCTTCAGATTTTTAGCAGAAACATTACCATAGACAATATAAGTTGAAGAAAATAAAAAGTATAAATATATTCGGTCAATTGTTTAATTAAAAATACTGGCACATATTTTCATAGAAACATATTTCGTGAATATCCTTTGATTATTTAAGAAGCTTCTATCGCACAAGGTAGGACCAGTACGAATAAAATTCTTGCGTACCTTGTAAATATTCTAGAAGACTGCCGTTTCTCATCAATTCCGTGATGATATAGATCGGTTCCTCCATCGTGCACACAGCGTACAATTGAATTAGTTTAGCGTGTCGGAGTTTCTTCATAATCTGCGCTTCGGCAAGGAAGTCCTTCGGATCCATAGTGCCTGGTTTGAGCGTCTTTATTGCCACTGGAGTAGTGTTGTTCCACAGACCTTCCCACACCTCGCCAAATTGGCCCTGTCCCAACTTCCTCAGGAATTTCAGCGACGAACGATCGATTTCCCATTGGTCCCGCGTACGGTGACTAAGCCCTTCCGTTACGGGTTTCTCAACCTGTTGAACAAAGCCAGACCCGGAATCAGCCGTCGTCGGCAAGGGGACAGACACGGGAGATTTAATTTTTGTGCAAGGAAGGTGTTTGATCGATGGCATTAATGGCGAACTATATTTCGTCTCGTCTGTTTTATAAGAACAAATTCTATAGCTAAGCGTAAGAGACAATATTCTACGCAGTGTAAAAAAAAAAAAGAGAGCGCTAGCGCTTAACTTCCCTGTTCGCGGATACAAACCTACTTCTTTCCAGATCCTGCAATCGTGTAAGAATCCCAATAACGATCCCGGACGGTAAACATGATCGCGAGAACGTTCCAACAGATATTTAACATCTTAGGAGAAAGATGAAGAGAAAAATGAAATAACGAGCGATACAATATGCAGAATGTCTCAAATATATCGCAATTAGAAAAAAAAAAACATGTCGCGAATCTCAGAAGTGTGTACTCGGTATACGAGTATATATAATCTAAACGGGACAGCATGCACATATGCTCGTTTTACGCTCGTTCGCTTCTCGAATAACGGATGAGATATGTAGGAACGCTTTTGGGACATCCTGTATATAGATAGATTTCGAGCACACATACATTCTTTCATTCACGAGCCGATTCTCGCTTTCGCGTCAATACTCATATGAACTTATACATACGTGTGTGAAAAGAGTTCGTACGTAAATTGTTATTCACAAGCAAGAGCGATATTTCGCGGTGAAACGAAATATAGTGTCGTTTCCTTGTGTGTGCTGCCAATCTCGGTTCTTTCTATCATATTTACCTAATATATGTATGTTACACCTCTCGCGAGTTCTACGATGCTAGGATGAATTGGTGTATGAGATAAGTTGTTGTAAATATGAAATTACATCGAATGTACAGAGCTTTTATACGAGATATCTCTAAGTGAATGACAATCTACTGCTTTTGAAACATAATCCCATATAGAACGGGCTTGTGCTGTATATACAGGCCAGACATAATGAAATATAAAAGCGTTTTACGTCGAGAAAAAAAAAAGAATCGAAAAAACGTGTTATGGCGTATATTAGGACATTCAATTTACCAAGAAAATCCACCGGGAAGTAGGGCAAGCAATAAACAGACAAACAAACACAATCTATTCAGACATCGAACTTCGCAACAAGTGCTTATCACAATGCTTCTAAAAAACTGATATCTCTCTCTTTTTCAATAAGTAATATTAATTTATAGGTATAAATAAACCTCGTTTGCTGTGACATTAAGTTTCATTTACTCGGTTATTCCCTACTCGCGATTTTTAAAAAATAAATAAATTGAATTAGATAATTACGATATAATCGATGTAATTGACATGTTGTAAATGTTTTTGTACTCGGAACGATACAAGTTTCGATCCAAAGTATTGTGTATCAGTAGCAATAATGCTTATAATAACCAAATAGTAAAGGTAATAACAAAAAAAGACAAAAAGATATTAGTATTATTAATATTAATAGCAATAATAATAATTTCTATAATATAACAGTAATATACTGTTCGTCGAGTTTGTTACCATCATCGTAATTAGGGCGAATAATCAGCGTATCGATCGGCATCGTTGCAAGTGTTGGAGTTTAGACAGTATATATGATACTGGCAGGAAATAAAGTCAGTTTATATAAATTCATCAATATAATCCCAATTGACTTCCGCTGCCATTTATTGCGTGGGTATATGCATGTGTAATTTTAAAAAGATTTCTACGAAAATATTATTTGTAGTCGTTCCTTCTCATCACTTTGATTTCGTTTCAACCAAAGTCATTCATCTAATGCAACTCCATATTTCAATGGCGACAAATTTCCGCTAAAAGCGACCTCATTCACGGAAATAAACAAAACATAGTAAATAACATTATAACGCAAATTCTTCGATCGTACCGTCTCATTATCAATAAAGACCTGCCTAACTCAGCGATAAATGAAACTTTGCCGCCGAGGTGACGTATGACGCATTAAGTATGACGTATTTGCTTCGACGAATCTCTGTCTAAACTCCCTCTCGTCATAATTCGCGATTCTTACGACTGTTAGCAGAAGCGAATGATAGTACAACACGATTATTGTCTACACCTATCAATTATTACCGTTAATATACTGAGAAAAGAAGTCGTTATTTTATACGGAAAACCGTATCGGTCACTCGTAGAACTTACTTGCACGCAAGGCTTGCACAGATTGACACACAGCCCATCCGCGTCTTTGCTATAGTGCTCCACGAGGTCCTGCAAATTTCTGAACGTGGTTCGCCTGGCGATGAAAAAGCCACCCTCGTCCAATTGACGAATACGGTAATGCTTCACCGTATCGCCGTCACGCACTACAACAATCATCGATATACATTCCACTTTGGCGCTTTAATGGCGCTCGCAATTTTGCATACAGATCGCACGCTACCGCACGATCCCGCCCGATCATTATTCATTTATTTGTTATCGTACTCCGGTCGGTTATGTTACGACCACGACCGGTAGTTTCTATTATCGTTCTATGACGTTACCTGAAAGGGAGTAATCATTGTGTCGGCTCTCGGAGTCTCTTATCAGAAACGCGCCGTGATCGTTTTCCGGTAGTAGCAATTTTTTCTCAGCCTCGATTCGCTTAATCTTCCTGAAATACCATCTGCAAATGCAAATTAGCGTTATGACTTTTACAGATTCGCTCGGTCCACTTACTAATCGCTAAGATTCTTTGCCGTGAATCAATCTCTGACTTATTTCACAGACTAAAGATCATGACCGCAGGACGACGAATTTTTGCCTGCCGATTATAATGAACTGTTAATATCATATATATATATATATCATTTTTAAAGCTTCCAGCAAGAGTGTAACACAGTGATCATTTTATCTTTATCATTAGCGAACAACAAGGCTGTAATGATTCACTGTGTTATCTGTATCTCTTGCTAGAAAGTGTCCTTTATTGTTAAATATCGAAGATCTTATTTGACGGAGTATATTCTTGCTCCAAATATTACATTATTTTTAATTTTTGAACGTTTACCGAGTTGTATTCCATTTAGATCCAGTTCCATCTACGTAAGATTAACTACTATAATCTCAGTTTAACGTACTGTTTATCTTTTCCTTATTCTTAGAATTAACAAAAGGTCTTAACGTCTGAGGCTGCTTTTCTTTTAGGAGGCACAAATATCGTTTTATCTTTATTATCCATTGAATTCCAAGGACGACGTTTGTGTCTCCTAAACGGAAAGCAATCTGACTTACTGTCCACGACCACCTGGTGCACAGCAGAGACCAGGATCATCCGAACGAAAGTCAAAGATCAGCGATATCGGCTTTGATTAAAGAGACAAAAATTATCGCGCCCAGTTCAATTTAAAATGACAAAGTCACTCACGGCTCAGCCTCGATTGATTTCAATTTGGCGACGTAATTGCTGGGAATGTAGCCCTCCTGCCTGGTCCTTTTACTCTTGGCCAGCCACCAGTCTCCCTGTGTGTCGTTGATTATCTCCAAGTGCTCTCCCTTCTTAAAACTCAAATCCTCGTCCGTGCGAGCGTCATAATCGTACAGAGCGACGAATATCTTCGCCGTGGTGACGTCCAGATCCGGGATCTGCGGGATCGGCCTGATGGGATCCGGTGGCGGCGTCGGCACCGGGCTGACCTGCGACGCAACCGCCTCTATGCTCGGATTGCCGATCCTGTCCGGCTTCTCCTTCTCCACGTCCGTCGGGCTGCTGAAGCAGTTCCCCATGTTTCGCGATCGTCGAGTCTATCCGACTCCAATTACGATCCTCTCAAATGATCCTCAACTCACACGCCACTGCTATTGTCCACGAGAGACGGGCTGTTCCTCTTTCTCACATTTAACGACCACTATATCAAAATCGCACCGGAGCAACCCGGTTTAAAGTTCGCAGTCTTATATATATAGACACGTAATTCGCCGGATACGTAGGCGTTAGAAATCAAGAACGAGTCATACACGTACCTTCGGTGCCGCGTCACGTTAATCCGATTAATCGTTCATGTGCGGCTCATTACCTGGGAAGAAGAAGAGGAGGTGGGTCACACACGCGCGAGTACCACCAAGACCGAACTGTCGACGCGAGATCTGTCAGCTGCGCCGTCGTCCGGAGGACAACAGACCGTGGATGATGGACAACAGAACGGGTGGAAGCGAGCCGCGCCGGGAGGATCACATCCGCGTGGAAAAGTCGCGAGGTGGTACCGCGCATTCTCCGGATATCCCGGAGCCCTGGGACTACCTGCCGCTCATCGCCACGGGGATGTCCTGTCCTTCTCCGGAATTATCAAGAGGACCCTGGAACGTTGGACTCTTCTCCTCTGGCGGATTTTCTATCAGGATTTGGCCTCGAGACTACCTCTGCGTCCTCGAGAGACCCACGATGGTGTTCCGGCGGAGGAACGCGGCGATAGAACACACGCGCGCGCGCGATCAGCCTCTCACCTCGATAGAGGCTTAGAAAGTAGGCGAGTCGCCAGGCGCCGTCGCCATTGCAGCGGTCACGGATCCGTCAAAAGGCCCACCGTGCGTATCCGTTTTCGCATGCGCGCGCTGCCCACCGACGGGCTCTGCCTCTTCCTCCTCGTATGTACGTGACACACACGCCCAATTCCCGTCGACGATCGACGGTACATTCGATCGCGACGACGACGACGTCGACGACGCTGCTATCGCGACGAACGATCCGTACCTCAGGCTGTCGTCCCCGGTATTCTCATCACCCGCGCGCAGCGTGCACTCTCGCGAGACGTGATCGGATCGCGCCAGATGTATCCTGACGTTTTCACGCTCGAACTGTTCGCATCGCACACCAGCTTGACCAAGCTCGTTGCGACTCGCGTACGATCTAATCCCGGTGGAGAAAGTCACGATTCGGAGAGCGCGGGTGGCTCGCACTCGGAATACTCGGACGCGCCTCTCGATTCTCGTCTGTTCTTGTCGTCGCTGGTCGTCGCCGCGACGCACCCAACCCCTGGCGGATTCTCGGAACGATTCATTCATGAAAGCTGTAGCGCTCGCTCGGTAAAGAATTCCTTCGTTCCTTTTGAAAAAAAAAAAAAAAAAAAAAAAAAAAAAA